CCTGCAAGGACTCACATTATGATGCAACAAACCTAAAAGATCTGTTCTCGCAGCGTGGCGCCATCTGATACTGAACTACCTGAGGGAAGTTGATCTGTATCATAAATTGTAACTGTGAAATGTAACAACCATAAATTGTATCTATGAAATGTAACAAACCGCCTGCCTTTAAATTTGATGCTATGACTTTTTCTGCTTTTGAATGACAATGTAATCAATAAATGTCTTTGAAATAAAACTCATTCCGAGTATGTACTTACAATATTTACTAATGCAAACTTGTTCTCGTCACTATATGGCTGGAAAAATGCCGATGTGACGTAAAGCTCAACTCAACTCAACTCAACCTTTTCATGGATGACTTCAATATTTCATGTCGTGGTAAGAACATGCACGCAAGAGAAAGGCAGCTACAACTCTGCCTTAACAAAATCCAAAAATGGGCCAATGAAAATGGTTTTAAGTTTTCAAAATCCAAAACAAATTGTATTCACTTTTGTCGTAAATACAAACCACACAAGGATCCAGACCTAACTTTAGATGGTACTCCCATCAAGGTAGTAGAAGAGGCCAAATTCCTTGGACTCATATTCGACCACCACCTGACATTCTTACCACACATAAAATATTTGAAAACAAAGTGCTTGAAGGCTCTAGACTTGCTACAAGTAGTTTCAAATACAGAGTGGGAAGGGGATCAGACCACCCTCCTTCACTTGTACAGATCACTAGTTGCAGTAAACTAGATTATGGCTCCATTGTCTACGGTGGAGCCACACATATCTGCAGCTAAAATCGATCTCAACATCATTGCACCATACCGACTTCTGTCCTCACCACCATGGTAAATGGTGAAACCACAGGTCGATCTTACCCTCACCAAATTCAAAAAGTCTGAAACAAATCCCTTGGTATTCCAACAGGAATACAACCAGTTACGTTCGAAGTATAACACTCACAGATCCATTTTCACAGACGGATCCAAGGACGATGGCCAAGTTGCCAGCGCTACAGTCATTGGAGCCAAGACTGTCTCCTCTAGGATCCCCGACAACAGTTCTATTTTCACCGCTGAAGCGAAAGCTATCTTCTCAGCTTTGACCTACATTCAACAGCAAAATCAGTCCAAAAACTTCATCGTATTTACAGATTCATTATCCTGCCTTCAAGCACTTCTAAATGTGACTTCAAGTCACCCAATCATCCTGGACATATTAGAACTGTACAACGACCTTTCTACTAGCCAATATGACATCATCCTCTGCTGGTTGCCGGGTCACGTCGGCATAGCAGGTAACACTAAGGCCGATGCTGCAGCAAAAGCAGCTCTCGAAAAGCCCCTATCTCCACTGCTAATCCCATACAGTGACTTCAAACCCACTATCAAAAGCTATACTCGGGACCTGATGCAAAAAAGGTTGGACACTCAAGTAGGAAGTAACAAACTCCATGAATTGAAGCCAACAATCGGTTATACCTACTTGGGTTGTCAGTCAAGACGCGATGACGATGTCGTATTGGCCACAGTCGATTTACACATGACTATCTGCTGAAAACGGATGGGGATGGACCCCCATGTGTGTCTCTTTCGATGAGGCGTTCACCGTTAAGCATATTCTACTTGAATGCGTGGACTTATCGCCTGCAAGGGACTCACATTATGATGCAACAAACCTAAAAGATCTGTTCTCACGCGTGAGCGCCCATCTGATACTGAACTACCTGTAACTGTGAAATGTAACAACCATAAATTGTAACTATGAAATGTAACAAACCGCCTGCCTTTAAATTTGATGCTATGACTTTTTCTGCTTTTGAATGACAATGTAATCAATAAATGTCTTTGAAATAAAACTCATTCCGAGTATGTACTTCCAATGTTTACTAATGCAAACTTGTTCTCGTCACTATATGGCTGGAATAATGCCGATGTGACGTAAAGCCCAACTCAACCAACCTATATGTTTCAATCTTCATTCCGTTACATGAAAAGTCACCTGGGAGTTTTGTAAGTTATTCTGTTCCAGAACTGGATAATGCCTGACCAGGGTTTGACCAAAACGTAGCTTTTGCTTTTTCAAATTTTCTGGATGTTGAAATAACTAGTTATACTAGCAATTACTTTCAGAAGTATCTCATTAGTAAATGTAGTATTTAAAAAACCATCTAAAAGCAGAATCCAAGAAACTAAGTTAATACCAAGTGATTGTCCTGCCATGATATGTATGGTGTTTGTTTGCCTAGTTCTGCCTTAAAATCTAAAAAATCTGATATGTCAATCAATTAAATAATTATTTATTATTGATTAGATTATTATTAATTTTATTACCCTTCCACGTTTACTAAAAAAGCAAGATTCTTAAAACATACCTTGCTATCATTTCCAGTGAATTAATCAAAATTACAGTTGTAATATTACTCCTAAAATGTACCATTATATGTGAATAATTTATGTGGTAACAAAACTTCAAATAATGTTCTCGTAATTAAGATATACACTTTATTTCACTCCGTCCAATACTCCATAAAGTCACTATTTTTCTCACATAGTTTTCGTATTCAATCAACCTGGAGGAAGGTAATTCAGTTCAAAGTCCCATGCAACTCTTTATAGAAAATATTTAAAGCATGGTTTTATAAGCACTCATATGGACTAATTTTGATACTTGATAGGCATGATAGGCAACAGCTGACACTGACAATATTTCCGTTTGAATACAAAATATTACTCATCGAATATTTTGCTCTGTTAACAAGATACTGTAGGCCTTCAGATTGTGCTTATGAAACTTAAAAAATCCTAAAATGTGTGACAAATTGAAGAATATCTTAGATCGAAGGGGACAATATCCGCCACATTGTTCTTTCATGTAACAAGTTTTGCTATTTCGGTTGACCCTAACCGAAATGAAGATTTGTTTACATTGTGTCACGGCTTTCTGGCCGGTCTCATTTGAGCTTTATGGCGTACCAACTCAATGCCTAGTAGTGACTAAATACGTTAAGCAAAAACAATTTTGTAGTTACAAGAATTGTCCGTGTTTATAACACTTGCAAAGTCTTAAACTGCTATTTGTTGTCATCGATTGGTAATGATTTTGCACATGTGCAAAAGTGTGGAAATTCGTGCAAATTCTCATCAGCAGGCAGACGTAGGTTTCCTGAACGATGGCGCAGACATTTAACTGATCGTTAGGCCTACCGCGTTTCTTGATCCGCCTCCATTTTTGTTGTCTTGACCGTAATGGTTTTGTTAAGGTACACATCCAATCGCAGCAATATGTAATAAATATAGCGAGTGTAAATAGCATAATTCGAAGCACATCGCTTCGGATGCATCGTTTGACCCCGGAAATAAGTCTGACAAATCCACACAGCGCGCCCGGCCTGCTGATTGGCCAATATTGACGCATGCGCCAGTTTTGATTGACAGACTGGATCGGTCTATTGAACTATTTTATTTTTGGTGGTATGTACCGTATTTTGTTTAAAAGGAAAGGACTTAGAGGAAGGGTAGGTGTGCAAGGTATAAGAAATTAAAAGCATTACCTTATTGAATTTGGAGGGCAGTGATGTGCATCAGCGTTGCCCTTGGCTGTGTGTCTCTGTACCGTCGGTGAGGTTGTGCGATGAGGTCGTGATGTACGTGCTGTTACGTCATCGCAGAGGAGGTCGGGTTGTCGATTTCTTTCATGGATGTTTTATTATTTTAGCTTGAGGTTAATGAGTTGTTAATTGGTTTGGAAGTATAAAGTGGTACTATTAATACGTTATGGTTTAATTATCGAATTCTATTTGAAGGTTTGCAGATAGTCGAGTTCACTTTTATCCCCTCAAGTAGGGCCTGGTAATTTAAAAAAAAATTCATGATTTGTTTGGTGTATGTTGACATGCTGTAATATTTTGTGTTTGCTTCAATTTAAGCGTCTTTGTTTCATGGTAATAAGGAAGTTCGAAGTTGATTTGATAGTGTGTATTATTATAAGCAACTATGTAGGTGATTAGTGGTATATTGTGTATTTTGGTGGGTTTTGTTATTGAGTTCAGGGAGTTTTATGTCCTTTGTCATGAACTCACGTAGTATTTCTTCAGAGTCCTCCTGTTTTGTGTCTGATTCGGGTATCCCATTAAAAAGGAGGATATTTATTTCTGCTCTCAGAGTTGTTGATGGTGCTGATATCCTCGACGTTTGTCCCGATGAGAGTCTCATTCTCAACAACTCTGTGTTGATTTCGATTTTGTCATTGGCCGCTTGTAGTTTAGTGTCTATAGAGTCCATTTTAGCGGATAATGTTTTCTCGGATGCAAGAATAGGTTCTTTAATGTCATCTAGGTTTGTAGCTGCTGTGCATGTAGCGCTTGCCGGGCCTTCTCCTTTGCTTATGCGATGGCATGGTGTTCACCGTTTTCGTGTGTGGTGGGTCGTGTGTTCAGTGTGACGACACAGCTAAGTTTCTGTGCAATATTCGAGGTTTATGACCTGTTCGCAAGGGTTTTGTTTTTCTGCTTGTAAAATTACCTCAGTACTCCATACTGTGAGTGGGCTTTGTTGGGTTTTTCACATCACTTCTCTCTCTCACTTAGACACGTTTACCCAACATGGCGGACAGGAAATGCCGGTTTTAGTTGTATGACATCGCCTTGAATAACATTCCTCATCTCAGTGAGGACAGATAATATGTCAACTTTCATACCGTCAAGGGCTACTTGAGCCACTGGACCAGGGTTATAGTAAGCTCACTACAACTCAATATCTCTTTACACCGAGCTTCCCCTCACGGTGCATTGCGCACAAGCTGCTGGTCGTTTTTCTGTGTGGTGAACATTACCGAGCAGACGAGCAACGACCAAAAGGCTCACCATTCTGTAGTTATACTCAGATGTTGGACATTGTTCGTTTTGATGTTGGTCTTTGACTAACCCTGTCAGCTACAGTGAAATCCCTATATTTAGTGTTCTTTGAATGGTAATTTATTAATATTTTCAGGTTACCCAAGTTTCGTTCCAACAGTAACATGTGAAATCAATGAAACTTCATACATGGTTTCTCATGTGATCGCAAATCCTCTGCCGAACTTCACCTGGTGGAGATCCAATGAGGGCCAGCTGGAGCCTATCAGGGCATCAACTGTACACACTGTGTCCAGCACAGACCTACGAACAACACTCAAGATCACTGTTACACATGCCAGTGACTACGGGAAGTAATCTGTAAGGGTGAAAAATTCAGTTGGAGAGAGCACCATAATCTACTCACTGTTGCCGATTTGGAAACTATGATCAATTCTTTTGTCTACACATGATACATGTGAATGACTGTAAATATTTGCAACCATGGTATAAAGATTTGGCTCGGACATGTTTTTAACATTATACCAGATCTCTTCTTTTACATGTCAATGAAAGTCATTTAGTAAACACTATGCAAGTATGTTGATATCTAGTTATGGTCGACTGACCCATATGTGTCAGCTATCATAATTTAGCATATGCAATGCTTTCAAAGTATTGGTGAGTTTTAACCACCAAGGTGCTAATCATAGCATGTGACAAAATGATATGCCGTCATAGACTGTTCAAAGTGTCACAATGGCAAATTCTTTCACTACCTTTCTCCAAATACTTAATTTACAGCAGCCCCGCTTGCCCCAGACGAGTTCAGATTCAATGAAATTGGGTACACAAACGTGATTCTTCAATGGAATTCCAACTACAATGGAGGTTCTCTACAAACATTCCAGAGCTGCTGAAGGTGACAGCAACTGGGCTATATGGAGGACAGGGATACCAGATCCAGGAATACACAGGGCTGTGTTAAGCAACGTTACGGGATTGAAATCAAAGACAAATTATCAGTTTCGAGTTTATGCAAGAAATATTTCTGGCACCAGTGAAAAAGTTACCAGGACAGCAACAACTGATGGTGAATGTATGTGTCATTTTCCAAACTGAAACAAGCACTTAGCTCAGAACTGTTTCTGTAAGAGAACTGCAGCTGTTTGATTTCATTTGAGACCGATGAATTGCTCACTAACACAAAATCTAATAGTTGCTACAAAACCAAATTTTGCACAGTCACATGAAATTGACAGCCCAACTCCGATGACTTGTCTCATAATTTTGGACACCCGAATGAAAAAAGTTGTTTAACGAACCATCATCATCTTGTTTTCACTTTTCGTTATTTCTTACAAGGGGATCACTTGCTGGTAGAACAGCCAGGTAATCAACACCTGGCTGTTCTACCAGCAAGTGGTCCCCCTCGTAAGAAATAACATCACATTACATCATATAACAATGCTTGGATCTAAGAATGAATTCAATTAGTGATGAAAGTGAAATGCTTTCCTTTGAGTTCTAGCTGATGGACCGCTAACAGAAGACCGATTTGAAAAAGGAATCGGGATAGGAATTAGTATAGCTCTTCCCATAGTGATACTACTTTCCATTCTTCTTGTAATTATGTCTCGGCGAAATCGAGGCAAAGGAGAAAAAGGTATGTCAAGGTCACCATCACCACAACACTTCGACCTTTTTTCAAACTCTTGTTAACGCGATATCTTATGCACTGTTGTACCCAGCGTCTTCAAATTTGGTGTCAGCATGCTTTGGGGTATTATGCAGACACCAGTTGATTTGGGTAACCTTGACCTTATTTTCAAGGTCACCATGACACTTTGACCACTTTTCAAACTTATGCTAGCGTGATATCTCATAAAACGTTGCACCCAATGTCTTCATTTATGTCGACAACCTACATTGGGTGATTATGCAGACGCCAGTCATTAAAAGGTTAAAATGTCTTTGAAGATTTAGACATAATTAACAGTCACCTGTTTTGAATACATTACATTGTTAAAATATTGAAAACCTCGAAGCCTCAGAGCTGATGCATATATTGCCGTTTCTTACAAATTTCAAGAGAGGAATTAACATGACAGGTATCAGGGTAGGGTGAGTGAGTGAGTTTAGTTTTACGCCTCACTCAGCAATATTCCAGCTGTATGGCGGCGGTCTGTAAATAATCGAGTCTGGACAAGACAATCCAGTGATCAACAGCATGAGCATCGACCTGCGCAATTGGGAACCGATGACATGTGTCAACCAAGTCAGCGAGGCTGACCACCCGATCCCGTTAGTCGCCTTTTACGACAAGCATAGTCGCCTTTTATGACAAGAATGGGTTGCTGAAGATCTATTCTACCCCGGATCTTCACGGGTCATCAGGGTAGGGTAGGGTAGGGTAGGGTAGGGTAGGGTAGGGCAGGGTAGGGTAGGGTAGGGTAGGGTAGGGCAGGGGTAGGGTAGGGTAGGGCAGGGTAGGGGAGGGTAGGGGAGGGTAGGGTAGGGTAGGGTAGGGGAGGGGTGGGGTTACCCGTCCCAGCCTTAATACCTGTGTTAGGTTTTGACAAATGATCATTTTCTTTTCAGTGCCTGGTACACAAACCGAGTAAGTAGTTTCATAATAATTATGTGCTTTTTAAAGTATTTCTTATATAACTCAAATGACTTGCATTTCGTTACAATTAAGTAAAGCCGCTTTGTGTCTTTGCTCCTCCACCTCTGAGAACCACGTGCTTTTTAAAGATTTTAGAGACTTCATATCTCATATACCTTCCATATTCACTTGAGAATAAGATAGATCAAGCCTGAGCAACATAAAGTGGACATCAAAACGGCTTGTGTACAAGATAACTTAAGCAAGTACAATTGGAATTTGATGCTGTCTAAAGGATAATTTTGACTGTATCAACGTCAGAAATTTCAGTTACAAAACATCGCCTCCAACATCAAGAAATGTTTGGTTAATTCATTGAATCTTATCAAATGTTGATGCCACTTTCACGGGTATTTGATTTTTATTCAGAAAGTTTTGTGTCAGGGGAACTGGCTTCAGATGCAGTGAAGTCAGAATAGATAAGGATGCAACTGTTTTTAATTACTCTTTCTCCCATTCTGGGTAATTTGGATATGATAGGAATGGATAGCTTCACAGTCTTAATGTTGAAAGAGTGAGTTAGTGAGTTTAGTTTTACGCCACACTCAGCAATTTTCCAGCTATATGGTGGTGGTCTGTAAATAATCGAGTCTGGACCAGACAATCCAGTGATCAAGAGCAGCAGCATCGATCTGCGCAATTGGGAACCGATGACATCTGTCAACTAAGTCAGTGAGCCTGACCACCCGATCCCCTGAGTTGCCTCTTACGATCGCCTTTTGTGGCAAGCATGGGTTGCTGGAGACCTATTCTACACGTGAAGTCTCTTACGAATTCAATAACTGTCGCTGAAGAATGATGTCAGTGAGGATCACCATGTCCTGCGATAAAATATTGACTCTATTAATGACAATATTGAAGATATTCACAGTCTTAATGACAATCCAGTGATCAATAGCAGCAGCATCGATCTGCGCAATTGGGAACCGATGACATGTGTCAACCAAGTCAGCGAGTCTGACCACCCGATCTTTTTAGTCGCCTCTTACGACAAGTATGGGTTACTGAAGCCACATTCTAACCCAGACCTTCACGGGTTAATGTTGAAAGAGTGTGCAAGTATCTGACATCTTGCAAGTGATGCTGCCAATTGGTATATAACAAGTACATCGAACATATTCTAAAACATTACACAGCCACGTACGTTGTTTTCAATAAATTAGGATGCAGATAGTAAATTCTTTACGTTTGTTCAGTTACATTTGCAAAGACCCCTGTGAAATGGCGTGAGACGAGTTCACATTGAAGTGTCGTTCGCTTGTATTTTGATTATTTACTTTCATAAAATACTTAATTTGCTCTTGTTTATATTAAGGTGGTAAATAAGTTAACACATGGGCCTCTATTAAATATATGAAATGTTTATCACAATTTTAAGCCTCAGCATGAAAAGCTTACACTATTCCTACGAATATATCCCTCTGAAGCATGACTACCTTTTTCCTGAAACCTGTTTCTGAATCCACAGGTTTAACTTCAATAAAAACAATTTTCAAGAGTTTGTGATGTCTTTCTTCCTTGCGGTCTACCAAATGCTATCCGTAGGTGTCATATCTCCCAAGGAAAACTCGGGGAAAATGTTCATAGTTATTTCTGTGGCTCACCTGATGGGATGTGTTAGATTTTTGTCTGAAAATGAAATTTATTAAAGGTTTGGCTATCTTTTTTTTTTGTATGAAGGTCCCCCCTGTTGAACTCTATGCAGACTATATTTAGGAAGATCCATAGGATTCCAGTCTTTGATTATTTTTTTACTCTAAGACCTAAGATATACTCTGACCTCAACTCTGCACTATACATTTGCCGACAAATTTTCTGCACTAGAGGTTTTCTTTCTCAATTCCATGGTTCCACTATCCCTTCAAGAAGATTTTGCTTGTGAAGATACAATGGCATATATTTAATGTACGGGAGAAGAGGAAGCTTCCACAATATTCCTTTCAGCCGAAGATTATTTAGTATATCAACACTGGTTTATTCTGCCTCAAATACCTGGATTGGCTAGGTCAAAAATTCCTTCAAGAGAGACTCACAATGAGTTTCAACAACAAGGATTTACCTGTTGTGAAATGGTTTGAAGGCTTTGGTGTGATGGTTCCGAAACATTTATTTATAAATAAATAAACATTTAGTCATAAAACAGACTCTAATGAGAGCTGCGTCACACAGACAACATTCAAGGTGTTAATTATGTGTTTGTATCAGGAAAGCCTGCCATTATATAACATCCCAGAGTACATTCCTCAAGCTACCCTTGTAAAGCTTATGAGGTTTTCCGAGGCTATCTCTTGAGGATATAACACATGCAGATAGTGTTTGTTGGACTACAAGGAATAAAGACAAACCAACTCCTTCGACTTTAACTTGATTCAAATAGCTGCAAAATTGTTGATGCGGTGTTAAGTAATACTCACTCACTGGACTTTAAATTTATTCAAGCTGAACCAGTTTCATGCAAAAGGCAATTATGGGTTAGAGGTAGTATTCTAAGAATTATCATCATTGTATGTAGTGTGAAATAGCAACTGAAAATAACGTCACAATGAAAATTTCACACTTAGGAAATGGAATCCAACTTAACATACATGTTCTCTAACGTAGGGTGTCCTTTCAGATGTACTTTACCTATGTTCTTTTAATGTCTGTTGCAGGCACACACAGTCAATTCCATGTAAGTTGTTTGAAGAAAAAAAACTCAGTCACCATGTGCCATCCTTTGTCGTTTCAACAATATGCTTCATTACATTTGCCATTTGTAAATTGGAATTGTTAAGTTTTATTCATGTGTCTCACCTTAAGATGCTGGTTCACCAGTATATGTCAAACACCTGTAAATGCTTACCTTTGCAAATGAAAACAGTCGTCTAAGCTAATACAAGTGGCCAATGTTTCTGTATTTGCTCAGCAACATTTGCTAACAGAAATATTATTTTTGTATCAGATGAGGCCACTGAACCAAGGACCTACTCATCTCTCAATCAGCAAATATCTGAGAACAACGAATATGAAAGAATTCAACTGGAAACATGTGGCAGAGCATTTACCACTGGTGCGTACAAGTGCTTTCTCGTCAACAGTGCCTTGTATGGTGGTGAATGATGAAAAAAATCAGTCAGATTATCGACCTCAGAGGAGAATGATTATTACTAGTATGAAAATATGAGGGCCAAGTGAGAGCATAAAAGAATGAAAACGTAATTTGTAGCAGTTGCACATAATGAAAATAAAGAATAATTTGGTATATTTATATATCAATGAATGTTGTGTTGTTTTATTACAATAATCTGCCAATGTTTTAATAAGTGTCAAGTGTACAGGAATTGTTATATTTAAGAACCATTTTCGTAAAAGCTCTCTAAGAATTTGGTAGGGACTGTTCTGAATGATGTTTCACCAAACTGGACATTGAAGGTGCATACAAACTGCTTTTATTAATGACGAAAATGAGAGCAGTATCAATCAGCTGTTCTGACAAGTCATTACCAGTTGCATTTAACCTAACCTCGTGTTGTATCTTTTAGATAGTGTAATACAGAAATACCTTTTCTCCTGAAAAATATTTAAGGCACTTGTTACTTTAATCCCCAAAAATAAAAATGTGCAAATTAAATACAACATGTCTTTTTATGATTGTTGGCTGTTGCTATCAGCATCTAGACAAAGATGGATATGTTCAGAAACTATTTGGTCGATATGCAGAGACACACTGATGATAGTAATAAGTTCTAATAACTGTCAATCTGGATTGAAAAAGATGTTATTCAAATGGTATAATCATAAGAAAAACACCACCTTGTAACACAACTTTTGCATTTGGTTTTGAAAAATGATGTTTCTTTTGCAGCTCAGTATATGTATATAAGCATAATTATTTACGATTCACATTTATTAAACGTTCTTGTATTTCAGAAAGTGAACATCCATATCGGAACATGACAGTACCATACCAAAAGTGACCTAGGACATGATTGACAGTGTCAAATTTGTTTGAACTTGGAACCCAAGATATACTGCACAAAGATCAATTTCACACTTTTGAACATTTAGCCCTAACGACCTAACGTCTCTCTGGTTTTAAATATACAGAGAGATGTCAGCTGCAACAAACAAGTGTTTTACTATAAAGAGCTTCATGTTTGCAAAAGCATACTAATAACAATTTCAAATTCAGTAAAAATGCTTGACATCAGTGCAAGAATCGTGTGAAATTGTCACACTAATGAAGATGTTATTTATAAAAAAAATGTCATTATTGTCACTATTTTGTGAAATCATTCATTGCATTCGAAGAAAATAAAGATGAGGGCTCAGGGTTGCAAACTGTTAAAGTAAATTTAAAATAAAAGTGATAACTTAAGACTTTGTGTCTGAAAATTATTCTAATTTCACACATATATACACTGATGCATCGAAAGAACCATCCAATAATCGTACTGCTGGGGCTTTTTGGATACCCAATTTATCGATCGCTAAGGTGTTCAGATTCCCTGATTATCTTTCTGTTTTTGCAGCTGAACTTTTGTCCATTTTGCAAGCATTGAGATGGGTAGATGAACATGACCATGATGCAATTATCTTTACAGATTATATGGCAGCAATCAAAGCTATAGAAGCTGGTGAAAATGGATCTAGAGATGACATTGTGCATGAGATATTAAAGCTGGATACATCGTTAAACATGAAGTATATTGCATGCGACATTGTGTGGGTCCCAGCACATGTTGGAATACATGGGAATGAGATTGTAGATAATTTGGCCAAATCCGGGTTACAGTTTCCTGAAGTTGATTTATTTAAATTTCAACCAATCCCTAAAGATTATGAAAATGTTTTATCGAAATCTGTTACAAGAAGTTGGCAACAGTTGTGGGATACAGGTACTACCGGTCGACATATGTACAAACTTAGACAAGATTTAGTTAGACAGATTTAGTTCTGTGGTTTTAAATCATTTTAACACTCTGTCATCTGAACCTACTGCTTTTTCATTGAATGAGTATTTCATGTTTCAGAAATGGAAGTGATTACTTAAGGTTTTTAATCCGTAACACGAAGCAGAGGTTATTCCATATATGTATACATCTATCCAAATTAATAGTGTTGTCGTTTCTTTTATCTTAGCTAAACGATTCCTTTTGGCGATGAAATTACATATGATTGTTTATTAAATCAAGTCAATGTGTTGGGCGCAAATAGGCCTGTTATTGGCCCACGTCGCCCTAAAACTATAAAACCAACCAACCAACCTTGGCATTTTCAAGCTATGTGTACTATTTGTATAAATAACTTTCTTAATATTTGTAGTTACGTCTTTAGTTACATGTATGCTAAACGAAGAGTGATACTCGTCCTAGGCCATTTTATATACAGGACAGGATCTCCAAGTTATACCAATCTGATGCTATCTGCATGTTCTAAATTTAACAAGGCATTTGAGCAACTTAAAATCAACTAGTTCAAAACGATTATTTTCAGATTTGAAGTTTCTATAGAGACAATACGTTCTACGGATGTGCTGGGGGACATGAATAGGAGAATAATATGTGCACGATGTAATATACTGTACGCACAATGTTGAATATTGTGCACACAAAGTAATATAGAGTGCGCATGATATAATATAGTTTGCTTATGGTAGAGTGGGTGAGTGAGTGAGTTTAGTTTTACGCCGCACTCAGCAATATTCCAGCTATATGACGGCGGTCTGTGAATAATCGAGTCTGGACCAGACAATCCAGTGATCAACAGCATGTGCATCAATCTGCGCAGTTGGGAACCGATGACATGTTAATTGAAGAGACGGAATTAAATATGACATCATATCGTGCGCACGAGACATTAAATAACATGCGCATGAAATGAATATTGTGCACACGGGATCATTCATTCAAGGCATGATACAGGACACCAAAGTGTCAGGAACCTTTTCAACTGCCGTTCAGAGATGATTATCTTGTTCCTTTTGGCCAAGAGAAATGTAATCTCCTGGTAGGTAAAATCGAGATGGAAATACAGACGTCTGATATCAGACCTGACATCCTCCATGTCTATCAAATGTGCCCGCAGGTGTGAATGCAGTGGTGTTTGCCGTGCGCACTTTGGTGTCCTGTACCATACTTTAATTGAATGATACCGCGCGCACGATAGCCTGTATATTGATTTCAAGCGCACATCAATACCCGGTGCGCTCGCTGGACGAGTGCTCTTGCTGGAAATGGAACCCATAAAGAAAAAACGGATATTCCGCCATAATAAAGTCTTCTAGCAATAACCTCCACTGTACAGTTATATTGAATCTTATGTTGCCCACAAAACTGTCTGAATGTTGAGGCAAAGGCATGTCAGTGATATTACACACGACTTTATTTACAGTTGCCTCTATTTCCAACCCATCATTTTATTTGACATTTAAATGTTTCCATTACAATATCTACGCATAACACATGGGACTCTTTCATTGGTTTAATAATCCATCAACAGTTGGTTAATTAAAACAAAGCAGGAATGCTTGATTTAAAACAAAAAAACACACGTAAAAGCTGATGTAACCCTTGCCTTGTAGCATGCACTGAAACAATTCTACACTTTCTATATGAGATAACAGACATATTCCATTTGGGTGTGATACTATTAAGAAAGTTGCCAAGTTGAATTTGAAACACGGATTCAGAAGATCATTTCATTCACAACGTGTAATGAATTTCTTGAAAGAACGTTAGCGTTTTTTATTATGGGTACATGAACATGGTTGGGGCTTAAAGTTACAGTGACATATGTCAATGTTGATTTCAGTTCTGATATTGTATTGTCTTTAACATGTGACAGAAGGATCGTTTAGGATGTTGCTCAGTAATGGTGAGTGGTGGGATCAGTGTGACTGGCAGAACACCTTTACGCTATTTACGGACGTGTCACTGGGCAGTACTACCGTGACAACACCCTGGAGGGACACGTGGTGCCATTTGCGCACCGACATGAACATCGTTATATTCTAGTTCACGATGACAGCCCAAGACACACACACATGATTCGTATTGTTACTTCCACCTCCTAAAGGAGGGGTCAATCACCTTACCACTTCCATCACTCAGTCCAGACTTGTCACCTGTGTCTGTGATAGCCGTAGCTGGCGCGTGCGTCATGTCAACAACAATTCACCACGCAACAGAGGAGGCTCTGCCCCCATAGAGTGGGAAGGAACGAACTTCGTTGACATTACACGAATGCGGAATTATGCCAGGATTGATGAATCCGGAATTGTCTTGGGAATACAGATGAAATGATGCTATTTGAATGAGCTCGATTTTTCATGGTAAATGACTTGGAGAAGGGGGAGCTTTTGCGATCTAGTAAATCTATGATCATCTTCACCTTCAAAGACTAATGAAAATTCCAGTCTTTCAGATGTCCTTGTTACATTACTAAAGTATTTATCTCATTAAACATGTAAAATTACACTCGCTGTGACCTAGTTACTAAACTACAGCTAACAGTATGGTACATCGTTGGAGTTTATGAATATGTCTAAAGCACTGGCCCCCTGCCCCCGTAAGTATTGTTACGCTCCTCAGTGTGTCCAATCAATTGTATCTCACAAATGACCATGATACAAGATGAGCCCTCAGGTATGCCAGAAGTTGATACCGGTTCTGTTCAGCTGAGAACTCAATGAAATGATAAAGTATCTGACAGGGTCTTCTAACTGTAATATACGATGCTAGGGCATATTGACGTCGTAAGACTGAGGCATCTACGACACCTGTTGTACAAATCAAACTCATCAGTGAGGCATCCAACGTAAAGTCTGTTTTTCTGCCTCTGCCTCGAATGCCGGAAGTAGTAGGGGGAATGATTGTCCGGGACCAGGTCCAACACAAGCCTCTGCAAAGCCTTATTCCCCAAATAAGGCTTTGGTCGGACCCTTAGCTCTTGCTACCATTACCCCTACTATAAAAAAGTTTGGGACGCTAGCGGGATACGAACTCCCACATGTATACCCCACAACCGCGCCGCTTAACCGACTGAGCCACCAGGGACATGGCTGAAGTGTGTTGGTTTAAAGGGTCTATCTTGGGATTGTATCATCGCCGCTATGTCACGTTGACCTCGATGAAACAGTTTAATGTGAATCGCCTATGATCTCTTTGGTGTTCCTAATAAAGGCTTGCTGGGCTTTTTTCACCCCTTGTTCTATGTACTTTTTTTTCTCGTCCTCGCTTATAGCAAACTTATGAGACTTGGATCGAATCTCTTGTTTCATTCTATGATATTTTGCGAGTTCAGAGAGGATTGAACTAAACTCCTCCTCTGAGATCTTACTGTCAGTGAGTGCAGTGGAAACACGCTCACTTACTGTGTTCAGCTTTGCTTCAGCCAGAACCCTGATCACGTCGTGTTTCAATGCCTTACGATGCAGTCTGCGGGATGCAAACTTAAGCACCAACCCTAGCAACCCTGCCACCCCAGATGTTATTTCAATGCCTAGCACTACGGGGGTAGCCACGATGGTAGCTAACAACCCAACACCTGCCGCCCCTAGCCCCATGCTGGTTGTCATAAGGGCAGTATCAACACCGTCCACGATATTGAAAGCTCTATGGTACTTCTTGCATAGTGCTTTCCCCGTGTCGCGGTCTTGTTCTAGTTGGCGTTTTACATCACATAACTGCCTCAAGCGGAACCCGTCTACGGTTTCCAGGGTCTTCGCTACTTCCTCTACGACTGGGTACAGCCCCATCCTGTGTGCCTATAATATATCTTATGAGATAGTTTTTAATTGGGTATCTAGTTTCCAACTAGCGTTCTGGTAATAGTTCAGGGATATAGCTCAATCCCATGATATATTTTAATTGGGTTTCATTTAACCTTCGATTAATGTACTTAAACCCGATAATACTTAGATTAACATGCGTGTAAAAAAGCGGGGTCTTAGCTCTACGTCCATTGAAGAGACGAACCCCATCAAGGCTTGGTAAAGGGTCCTTTTCCGATACCTTAATAATACGACAACGTTGGTTAT